TTTTGGGGGGGGGGGGAGGTTATACAGATTTGGATCTGGAAGGTGAAAAGCGTGGTTGGGCGCACATATCAACATGATGATACCCAAAGTATTGTAAAGAACATAAGGACAAGGAATTTGTAACCTGAATTGAAATTGAAAAATTGAATAATAAGTAATGATTATACTGCACACTAAACATTTTAACACAACGTTTTAATACATCTTTAATTTTTATATCTGAATACCTGCACATAAAAGGAGACATATATACAGCTATAATTCTACCACTTAACGTCTAGACTGAGTGATTAGTAAATATGTTTCGTATTCAGGAAGTACAGGTTTGAAACATGCCTCAGGAAACAGCTATTCTGTGAGGGTTGTCGTGTTTTTTCTCAGTCCCTACAGTCAACTGCCGGAATAATATCATAAATTAGGTCATGACCGCTTAATTACACATTCAAATATAATTAATAATTTATCATTAACAGACTATCTATCATTCGACGCTACAACCTGATCCACTGACGTCGTTGAATCAACCATTTTTGTAATATCGTAACATCATCTACTAACCAACTTAGGAAAGATACAGTATTTCGATCCTACATGCATGCAACATAACTGTGTTCGCAGATGTCTGTCTTGCTGCTCCGACATCTCCGTCGGGAAACGACACCCCTTTTGACCAACAGGTAAGAGCAAGTACACTCTAAGGTTTGTAATTTAGTAACGCACAGCACTCCTGAATACTGATTACAATTAGGTGTCACACAGACTGATGGTTTGGAAATTGCGTCACATAACGACCTACATTTCCGCTGCGTTGTTAACTAACCTAAAAACCAATCAATATATTTGTTCTTGAATTTGTTGTAAATGAAATCCTGAAACGTTCGTGACTGAGAATTGCAAATTACAGTCTGCTGGACACTTTAACTTTTTTACAGTACCTGACACAAAATCATCCCTGCCCGATAAAACAAGGAAACGATGATTACCAACACGAATGTCAACGAAGTAGGCCGACGAATACACTACTTAAAAATGTATTCGGTCTTCCACGTGCATTTCGAAACCTGGCTGGGAACTTAATTAAAGGCGCAGCAGACGCGCTTGACAATATAAATCCATTTAAGGACGTACTTCCACACGAGCATCCTTCAACCATTACAACTCATGTTACGTCAGTTACAACAGATGGACCAGGAGGTACAGGGGCAGATTCATTTCAAGGCGAACCAATCGCCACTACCTCTCCAAAACCTACAACACCAGTGAAAACGAATGGGGCCCAAAACTTGTTGGATTTAGTATTTGGAAAGAACCTGCAGACGACTGAAATTACACAGACAAGGGCAACTGTAGCACCGCCAGCAGGAGGTCACGGAAGAGGTGTTCCAGCAATAGTGTTCAATATTAAAAATATTTTGCAAAATACCTTAGAAGTGATAGGTGCAATCTTACACTGGACACAACATTCGGAGCCAGGATACATAATTAGTAAGATTCAAAGTTCATTTCAAAGTGTGGAAGCCCTGATGGATATATACCTACAAAGAAATTTGGAAGGAGGAATTGGGGACATACCAAAACATGTGGAGGCGATACTGAAGAACATTGGAAGCCTAACAAACTCAATCACACACGATCCCGGAAACATGATACAGATGATTATAACCGGCCAGGCTCTGCTCCAAGACATCGGTAAACTTGAAGGTGACTTTATAGAGTCACCGTCAACAACTGCGGCACCTGGCGGATTAATTGGGAATATTCTTCAAGGCATCGGGGTACTCGGAAAGAAGGAAGAACCGCTAAGTACTCCTACAAAAAGCAACAACACAAGCCTTCAACAGAGATATGGAGAATTCGGAAATGTGGTCCAAAGTACGGGAAAACTGGTTTATGTTTTAGGGAAAATAGAAGAGGACATACAAGATCGTCTCCCTAACAGCACTCTGCTGCAGATGATTGGGAAACTAAAGGATTTGGTGGAGGTGTCTCTTACAAATAACACATTAGATAATGAAAATATTTTAGATGCCATTCAGAAAATATTCTTTCCAAACAGCACTTTAGCCCAGATAGTTGGGAACTTCGGCAAAACCCTTAATAAGATTTTTCCAAACTCTAACACTGTACAGGTTATTGGAAACATCCTGCAGCAAAAGCTGCTTGTAGATTTAGCTTTAAATATTGTTGTAAGAAGTGCAAGTTTTCTCCGTTTCGGAAACATTAAAGACTTTGTACTTCAGTCCGTTGGAAATGTAGAAAATGAAATAATAGGGGATAATCTGAATAAATTATTAGCAGGAGGTATTTCAGTCTTGGAAAGAATGGTAGAAATCTTTGAATCATTCCTGAAAATTATCATACAATTATAAATCAGTTATATTTGAACATCCTATACGGAGAAATTTGCAGCATTCTTCTTTAACAAACTAGGTGAGGCCGAGTCACAACAGGAATACGACGTTTTTTTCGAAGATAATGCATTGTTACCATACTCATAATATCATATAGAACAGTTCTGATAAATAAAATCAAGTTTAAAACTTAAAACAGAAAATATTTGTTTGCGTAGTTAATCAACCAAACTGGACAAGTTTGTGCACAATACTCAGATACGTCCTACACATTAATTTCATTCAATTTCGCATCGCAGTTCATTTTCACCGCTTTTAAAACACGTCATTTATTGGCACCACCTGGGTATAACCTAACCCACATTTGTTCGACACCGCAACTAAGCGTCCTAAAATAACACGTCAAGACCAATTTACTGCTATCTTATCACAGTTTGTGCAAAACACTTTATCAACTGTAGTGACGTAAAACAGAGAAACGTAGAAATTTGATAAATACTTTTGAAAGAACTGCAGAATGTGTGTTGGTACTTAAGCACTAATTGGATGTATTCGAGCAGAAAATGTGATACAACTTCAAATGAGAGCATGTAAGTATATAATTGTGGAGTTGAACTATATTTGAAACTATCAAAAACATTTTTAAAGAAAACAAAATAACCAACATTCTGAGGAAGAGATCAAGTCAGAAGCAAAATCCTGATCAAGAAGAAAATAATACACATTAAATGTCTCGGATGTTTTAAATACATGAAAAAGGACACGGGCATGAATAAAAACCACCAACATTCTTAAACATTACAGGTCCAATAAATAACGTATTGTCCGACGTCGTGTCGAAAGTTCATCAAAATGCTGCAATGAGCTACAATACATTAGAGCAGGGGTTCTCAACCTTTTTTGCTGGCGTACCACTAATTCTAAGTTAACACATGAAAAGTACCACTAACCAAGATAGTGTAATTGCGTCATATTTATGTTAATATTATCTTTTGATTTTTTTACGTAGTTCGCGTACCACCAATGGTACAAGTACCATAGGTTGATAAATGCTGCATTAGCATTTAAAATCCCCTCTGTGGTAGTGGAACCCTGATAATTCGACGAACGTCTCACAGTATGGGTAATCAGTTCTATGAATGCCATAAATGTTTGTCCTACCACTTAATTTCACTGGCTGACAAATTTAATGGAATACATCCAATACTACTAATTTCAAATGTTGCCTTATACTCTAGATTATTCGGAGTCTTGATGAACTGTTTATCCAAATAAAGTATTACTTGTTGATTTGAACCCGTGTGAAAGCAGTCGAGTTTGTACTGCATTCAGTCGCTGTACTATCACTGCATCACCAATTTAGTGTACAGATACAGTATGCATTTTGAAACACTTCTCGCAACATTTTTATTCACATCGGCATATAACGCGTAATATTAACAAACTGATGGACACAACTCACAAACTCCATCATACTTAGCCCGATGTCTTGTGGCTTCTAGTAATGACTGATGGGTAATTTTAGAAAAAAAATATTAAAGATCTGAAAGCGTAATTTTTCATTCTATGGTAATGATAGACGAACAATTTCTCACTTCCTTTCCCAGAACATTTTAGATGCCTGGGTAGAAATGTACTTCAGGATTTATTCCAATGCCTTGCTGGTTGATGCAATGACCTTTAAAAAAACATCTGACCACATGCAAGAGCCTCACACAGCTCTTACTCTTAATATTCAATGGCAAAATACAATTTGAAAGGTTATGTACACAGAATGACCGTAAATTACTCTTTAGCACATTAATAATCTGGAAAATCCTTCCGAAACTCTATTAACTAATACCCACGAAGCAAAACAGTAACATTAAAATTAACACCTTCTTCCAGCCTGTCCCAACAGAAAATAACATTGTTTTTAGTTAACTACCATTCAACACAGTCTTGCAGTTTAATGCAAAGTACAGGTGCCTTCTTTACATGATGAACATTACTTTGCTCTGATGATGCTAAAACGTCACATCTAAATTTTTTTCAAATTAAAAAATTACTGTAAAAATGTCTTCTTACATAATAGGGTAAGCAGCTGAAGGAAACTGAACTATTTGAAACATTGCATGTTTTTACTCACTAATACTACAGAATACACATATATCAAATTTGGTATACTTTGGTAAGTAATAATACAGTCTCAACATCATGCAAAAATAAGACATTCAGGTTGTCATTAGCTTCTGAAAATGGAGCATACATGAATATTACAGAAATCTTACATGCAATTTGAAGACATCACCACAAACATGTTTTAACTCATCCTGCTTCTCATGCAGTATACTTAAAAGTTTAATCACATCAGACAAGACTAAAAACACACAACTACAGTTTATTTGATATAGGGTTATATGCACTTATTTTACCCTGACTACTTCCATGAGACAATACAAAAATTCTGTTATTAATAAATGATACAAAATGGCTGTTTTGTATTAGTTATAATACCATTATAATAATTCACTGCTAAAAGTAAATATGCAACTTGTTTTTGTCATAGATACATGTACACTTATTTTGAACACTAAATTTGTTGAATAAATGAATACAACTGTAACTGGCTCAGCATTAAATAAGATGAATGGCAACCATACCAGTATTACCAGATTGTTATGATCGCAGATATTTTTAAAAATATGGTTTCCTTCTGGAAGCATATGCAGTGCTAAACTTAACTTCTCCATGCTCTCTTGTTACTATACCACGAGTCCAGCAAATTATCCATAAAAATCCCTGTAAATAAACTTGATAGAACACTATACTATCTCTCTTAACTTGTTCTATCCATTATATGATTGTCCACTCCTGGGTCCTAAATTCTTGGCAATATTCCTTTCAATTAGTAGACTTTTAGACTGGTCTGTTAATAGGTTGATAAACAAATATCTAGCATCATGATTCTTTGGCTCTCAATTACTTAACCTTTTAGTATAAGTTCAGATAAATGTGTCAATGTGTCATGCAATACTATCACAATGACAATGTATAAATTTGGAGGCATCAAGGTAGCGTAAAACCTCTGCACATACAAATACATTATTTGTATGCCTTCAGGTAGTTTATATATCTAAAATATCAAGTATTTAATGTATAAAATGAAGCTTTCACAGCAAGTGAAGTTCATGAAATAATGTTGGGTTATAAGCCACATCAGGTGGCTAAATGGTGAATAAACCGTATCTTCTGCCAACATTTCGAGAACAATCTCTGCTCTCATCCTCAGGGCTGCTGGGTAACAAATCTGATTCTTTGTTGTGCGCTCGTTGATGAGAAACTGGCGGTGGACGGATGGTGTTGCTGGTGGCCCATCTGTTGCTTTGTTTCACGCTGGCCAATGAGAACTGGCAGTCGAGGTCACGTGCTCGCACTAGTTGGCTCGGCCTTCTGGGCAGACTGCAGTTTTGTCACAGGATACCAGGCACGGCTCAGAGTGAAACCATCATCAACGTTGGCAGAAGATATGGTTTATTCACCATTCAGCCACCTGACATGGCTTGTGACCCGAGAGTCTTTCACCAATATCAAGTACTTACATTTGATGTTCTATTTCTGAAAATATATTATAGCCCTTTGGTGGAACACTCCTGTCTATACCGAAGAATTGTTTTGTGTGAAAAAACTGTTCTATCCACAAAAGTTAAAGTGCATCACCCATGTAATACCCAAACAAGTAACGTCTATTATCTAAACATGGATATATGTGAGAAATATAGAAGTAGATTTATATGCTGACAAAATTTACCCCCAGAAAACAGCCCCCACTTTCCACTGGACAGGAGACTGGGACGTCAGTGTTAATCTAGAAGTGATGGTAATTTCCATATTGGGAATTAAATTCCAGCCATGTAATCTACAGCAAGTCATTTTACTTACAAAACTATGACATATATATGCATGATATAAAATATTGGAATAAAACATATCTGTAGACTCCTTTTCACTAAAATCTAGTCTCCTCTATTTCTGCATAGCAGAAATCATTTGTCAACAAAAGTGCAAGGATTTTGATGAAAATAAGGGAAATGGATTGCTAAAACCGCTTATGAGAAAATAAATCCTGAGTAATGCCTTACCTGCAGTATTTAAACATGGGACTTATTTCATTCAGCACTCAAAATCCACAAAAATTATAAAACAAATACTCTACACAGATTTACAGCAGCCATATGTTTATGTAATGAAGCTATTAAGCATAAAAACTGCACAGTATTTTCTCATATACTCCCAACAAATATAAATTGAACAAAATCAGTATGTTACATAACACTGACCATTACCACATATCAACAGTTTCTTCTGTTGATGGTAATATCATGAAATACCTACCATGGTAGCTAAATATCAGAAGACAAAAGATAATAAATTTTGTTTCACTTTACTGATAAAAACGAAGTGACTGGCACATAAAGTAACTGTGCAGATATGATTCAGTGCCTCAAACTGCGTCTCACAATATCATTAGCAGTCTGATTAAATTCCCAGATGCCAATACGAGCTTCTTCCAAATCTGAATCAAACTTCTGCCATGGGCCAAAGAAAGAAAACGGGCGTTTGCCATCATGCAAAGTGCTCTGACAACAAAATCCAGATCCACGTGTTGAACCGCAACAGCTCGAATGGGTGCTTTCCCTGTAAAATTGTCAAACAGTCATACTGGTCTAAGATGCTTAATCACACTAACCTGTTATAGTAGTGAATTATGGTAATTCAGCTTCTGCAAAGGAAGTGGAAGTTAAAGAAACAGGATCTGATGAAGCATACTGGATTCATCTGGCTAAGAAAAGGGGTCCGGTGGTTCCTTTAGGTTCCAGAAAAGGTAGGAAATGTCTGAGGAGCTGAGCTACCATTACATTTTTCAGGAATCTACTCACCAGAATTAGGTTCTGGAAGAGAGCACAGAAGCAATTAATGCAACACATAGTGCCCAACACACACCCACATTTAGAAACGTAAATAAATTACCCGAGAGTCTTTCACCAATATCAAGTACTTACATTTGATGTTCTATTTCTGAAAATATATTATAGCCCTTTGGTGGAACACTCCTGTCTATACCGAAGAATTGTTTTGTGTGAAAAAACTGTTCTATCCACAAAAGTTAAAGTGCATCACCCATGTAATACCCAAACAAGTAACGTCTATTATCTAAACATGGATATATGTGAGAAATATAGAAGTAGATTTATATGCTGACAAAATTTACCCCCAGAAAACAGCCCCCACTTTCCACTGGACAGGAGACTGGGACGTCAGTGTTAATCTAGAAGTGATGGTAATTTCCATATTGGGAATTAAATTCCAGCCATGTAATCTACAGCAAGTCATTTTACTTACAAAACTATGACATATATATGCATGATATAAAATATTGGAATAAAACATATCTGTAGACTCCTTTTCACTAAAATCTAGTCTCCTCTATTTCTGCATAGCAGAAATCATTTGTCAACAAAAGTGCAAGGATTTTGATGAAAATAAGGGAAATGGATTGCTAAAACCGCTTATGAGAAAATAAATCCTGAGTAATGCCTTACCTGCAGTATTTAAACATGGGACTTATTTCATTCAGCACTCAAAATCCACAAAAATTATAAAACAAATACTCTACACAGATTTACAGCAGCCATATGTTTATGTAATGAAGCTATTAAGCATAAAAACTGCACAGTATTTTCTCATATACTCCCAACAAATATAAATTGAACAAAATCAGTATGTTACATAACACTGACCATTACCACATATCAACAGTTTCTTCTGTTGATGGTAATATCATGAAATACCTACCATGGTAGCTAAATATCAGAAGACAAAAGATAATAAATTTTGTTTCACTTTACTGATAAAAACGAAGTGACTGGCACATAAAGTAACTGTGCAGATATGATTCAGTGCCTCAAACTGCGTCTCACAATATCATTAGCAGTCTGATTAAATTCCCAGATGCCAATACGAGCTTCTTCCAAATCTGAATCAAACTTCTGCCATGGGCCAAAGAAAGAAAACGGGCGTTTGCCATCATGCAAAGTGCTCTGACAACAAAATCCAGATCCACGTGTTGAACCGCAACAGCTCGAATGGGTGCTTTCCCTGTAAAATTGTCAAACAGTCATACTGGTCTAAGATGCTTAATCACACTAACCTGTTATAGTAGTGAATTATGGTAATTCAGCTTCTGCAAAGGAAGTGGAAGTTAAAGAAACAGGATCTGATGAAGCATACTGGATTCATCTGGCTAAGAAAAGGGGTCCGGTGGTTCCTTTAGGTTCCAGAAAAGGTAGGAAATGTCTGAGGAGCTGAGCTACCATTACATTTTTCAGGAATCTACTCACCAGAATTAGGTTCTGGAAGAGAGCACAGAAGCAATTAATGCAACACATAGTGCCCAACACACACCCACATTTAGAAACGTAAATAAATTATAATTTGTGACTATAAGACTGGCTTATTATATGCTGTGTATTATAATAAAATGTTCACTTGGTATCCAAATTGTGACTAGCCAGATATTGAAAACTTGCACATTTTTAATTTTTAAATTGATTGTAACCTTATTAAGCAGCCCCACTTCCAACTTTCCACTAAATTTAATGAACAACATAAAAAAGTATAGTGTATTTTTTTATAAACACAATCCTCACACTATGGGCATTTCAATTCATTTTATTTTCCAGTATAAAATCAATAAATAGTACACAATAAGGTATAGACTGTGAAAACTTGATATATTTGACAATAAGGAAAGAACACAGACAGAGTACATGTGAATTTCTGGACCTAAGATAAAACAAGGCTCTACAAAATTGAACTAGGAGGTGTTTCATAATTTGTAAATTCCACTAAATGTTATTGGGATGGGCATTACAACAGTTGGGGGAGAAGATAAATGCAATATAAAATTCTGGCTGAAAGCCTGAAGGAACACACCACTCAGAGATTTAGGCGTATATAGGAGGGAAACATCAAAATTGGTCTTAAGGTCATCGAGTGGATATTGAATGGATCTCACACCACAGTTTATATGATCCTAATGTCACAGTGGAGTCTTGCACTCCATATTTTATTACCTCTGGTGAGTTGGGCATTTGCCAATACTTGTTACATTTTCTTTGTCTCTGCTGCCACCACTTCTTACATTTCTCCGATATGGAGACTCAATTCCAAAAGGACTGTACAGTTTGGTTGGAGTACGACCCAAGAGATGGCGAGATCGAGTCTGTGGAGTTATAGGAGAGTGTGGTGACTCATTCTTCAGACGATAACGGCGCCTTGTTGAGCAGCGAAATTTCTGTAATGTCAAAATGTATGGAGTTCTTGTGAAAATTTATCAAGTCAAGTATAGAAGCTTCATTATACTTGGACTGACTTATACTGCTCACCTAGTGTTGTTGAGATATCTCAGACAAAAGGTTTACATGGGGAAGAAATGGGAGGAAAAGAAAATTACCTTAACAGCAGCAGAAAAACTAAATTAATTCAGAATTCTGGTGAGCAAACATCCTTGCATGATGGTTGCATTCTTGGGAAATGCTATTATTTTTAATATTGTACAAAAAGAGTACAGGCTATAGAAAACAGGGGGTTTACAATGTTACAATTTAAAAAATGCATTTTGCAAGATATCTAAATAAGTGGCCTTTCTTCATTAGTTTTCCTTTTCTAAGTACATAAGAACCATTTACTTTGTTGCCTTTATATTGAGGCTTGCAAATATGCAACCTTTGTTTCAAAGATTTCCAGTCTACCACAATATAGCTTAATGCCAGGACAGCCACTTCAGAGCCTCAAGTTTGCATTATTTTTCAAAGTAACACCTGCAAAAACACTGAAAGCTGTGAATAAATAGTGTAAAGGTAGTGTGACAGTGTGGTTTGGAGAGTTGAGTTAACTTGTAAATCTCTAACCCAACAATAACATGATTACACAGCACCATCTCTGGCAATGGCAAAACCTAATACACGAAACGTAATGTTTAATATGTACACACATTAGAAACATGACTTACTTGAGAAAGGGTGCCAAACGTCGTACGGACATTACTCAAAGTTCGGGACAATTTATCAGCCCCGGATCGCAGAACACGACGTGAATGAATAGGAAGCAGAGATATTGATGACAGATTCAAATTCGTCCACCTTTTTTGTGACGTCTTGAAGTCTTCTTTGGTTGATTTTAACGAATAAGAGCATTCGTTGTCAAACCGATCTTGAAGGCGCTGCCGTGTCACTCGAGGTTTTCCAGGCTCATTATGTGTTCCTATATCCAACTGTGGTGTATGAAATGTAAACGATTTACTTCCTTTATCAGACCGCATGTTGACCACACCGCAACAGCCAAATTTAAATCAAGCCGTTTGGTTAGTCTCAAACGCAAACACCAAAGTAATTTAATGTCCAGTTCCGGTTCCGCTCGGCCACAGATTTTCACCTACATTAAAGGTACACTGGTGGCCATACTCTCAGATTATCTTTGATCCATGTTCTTACACGCACGATACAATCGGCAGCCATTTTGTGTCTACTTCATCTAACAAAATAAGTATTTCTAATCTAGGATTACATATATATCAATGTGAACTGAAATGCTTGTTTATATCACATGTTGGCCCAGTTCTTAAGCTCCACGCCATGAAGACGAATTGAGGGAATGGCGATATGGTTCCAATTCGACTCTACGCAGATGTTACATTCTATAATTTTCTACCAAAATATAAAAACACGAGATTCAAGACCAGACTCCGTCTTCAGATACCAAAATGGGGTCTACTATGTGGGGGTCCATTAAGTGTGAGTTTGAGGTACTGATATTAATTTATTTCATTATCTAGATTCACTGTGGCTGGTACAAACGGGGTCATTGTCATAGCATAGGTCGCATATCACTGTTTTGCTGAGCAAAGTAAACAGTCATAAATTTCGTAAGTGTTGCTGACCCTGCAGTTGACAGTTTTCACAGCCAACGCGCTTCTGATGATAAACGATAACAAAGTAGACAACGTTAAGAATATAAGGGTTTAGTATACCCAATGTTGAAATAGCAAACATGTTTTTGACACAATTTTTAGAAACATGAACTTTGGAATAAACAGCCTTCTGACAAGTCATAATATGGCATCACAAAAATGTTATATTGTACAATATTACATAATTGTCAAAACAATTTAATTACTGTCTTCAATAAAGAAGTAGAAAGAGAAGGAATGGGTAAAAACAGATGATGTATGGAATTATAAACCCCCTAAAAAGTTGAAGTTGAAGAAGTCAGGATCATTTTAAAGGCGGTTCAGTGTCTAGTCCGTGAAGACACAAAGAAGAAAAAAATTTCTTGTATTCTTGCTCGTTTACACGTCGTTTCTCCAAATTACACAGAATAACATGTCAGCATTCCAGCATTATTACGTCATCAGCTGGATGTAGTTTTGTAAATATCAATAAACCATCGCCGCCTTCTCTTTTTGGTGTGGTATTTGTTTCTCATTGTTATGTAAATGCTGTATGAGTATCAACAATTTAATGCAGGATATAAATACTGAACCACATGGACTTCTACCTCACACTTCCCATTTGGGACACTGCGAGAAAGTTTCAGGAACGATAATGAATCCAAGGTTTGTTTTCTTGACGAGCGCAGCACTCTTAGTTTTATCGCAGGTAAGAGGCGTGTTCTTTAGGAATATAGACTAAGTTTTTTCATTGGCAGAACGGCAATATGGAGGTAGTTATGTTTCCGAAAATGCTTAGAATTTAAACAGAAGAATTTTTAAAACGCGAGTGAAATTTTTTAGACGCAAATTTACAAAATTCACGTTTTCAATTAAAAATTGTATAAATTTCTCATCTCTCCCAAGCACCTTACACGGGCTACCATTTTATCCTTATCGAAGTAGTTATCACAAGCCACTGATATGTAAAAATACCCTGCCACATCGTTATACGTAAGCTAAAGGCTTCCAAAAGTTATTATGTAACGCTAAGAATATTTTCCTATCTATTCACTCATGCAAAAGTATTAGTCCTATAAGATTTGTTGCGTTTATAAAGTCTGTTTCCTTAATCCTACAAGCAGCAGTTAAAGGTCATACAAAATACACAGAAGGTAAAGTACTCGATCAAACAACGCAGCACTAAATACTCAACAGACGAAACGATTTCTTTCTCAGCCCGTACATTGAGTTTCAATCAACAGCGAAACTCGCAGAAGAGTCTTTATTACAGAGGAACAGACAGTTGGCCCCTATACGTTTTTTAATCATCCCAACGCCCTCCACCCCTGCAATGCTAGTGAACTGTGCCCTGTTCTTGTTTCAGGTATCCGGTTTGGGCCTCAGAAAGAAATGTAGCTGTGGCTTGACTTCCGAGGGTGTTGACGTATGCGGTTGTCAAGATTCTGTGGTATGTTAAGAGGAACAAATACACGTTGTTTCAGTCGCAATACTTATATTATAAACAAATGCAAGCAAACTTGACTAAGAATTATTTATTCTCCACTATAACCCGTCGGTTCACCATATGACAACGATTATAATTTATGAATAGGGTAACAGGTACACAGAGATATAAACATTCTTAAATTAATCAATAATGCTTGTTTATTTACGAATTTTTGTCAGTCTGACAAATTTCATCTCAACATCAGGCTTTTCTTAAAAAATCCGTTCTATTAATGAACTTTCTTGACCCATAGGTTCGACCACCCAGGCCTCAGAAGCTGACCACTCCCACTATACAAGAAATAGTAAGCAGCAGGGTAAAGCTGGGTCCGACCGAAGGATTGTACCCATACGAAGACACGAACTATGTAAGTCTAACAACTGTGTCTTCTATAACTGCAAAATTTATTTTGCAACATTAAGTGCAATGATAAAAATTATTTTCACTTAAAATTCGTAGGGAATGTATATGTGACCTTCCCTAAGCCATATAATTATTATTGGATCAAAAAAATATGAACCTCATGTGACGTGTATCGTACACAGTTTACACAGAGAAATTAAAAACCTCGCGGTAAGGGACAACTTGGGAGTCCTATGCATAGATGGATAAACAACCTCAAATTGGATAAACAGGGAATAAATTTATAGAATTGATTCGACTGACTCAGGATAGAATCCAGTAACAATTTTTTTAAACACTGTGATAAAGCACGATGCTTAGTAATTAATAACTGCTCAATGAAACCGTTAGGCCGTGTAGATATTTAATCAGAAAGGAAGAACAATGGAGATACCCGCTTACATACATGATAGTGTTCCGTAAAATTTCACCATCTACTGATAGAATTTAGCATAAAACTGGCAGAAAATTTACGAAGAACGTTCACGAGATATGTGCCGATATAGAGTTCAATGTTTTGTGGCGGAGAAGGACATATCCGGTGTTCACGAGATATGTGCCGATATAGGTTTCAACGTTTTGTGGCGGAGAAGGACATATCCGGTATTTGATGTGTTAATCAGAGCCGGGAAAATGACAAACACCCAGACCACACAACGAAAAGAAGCCCTGCAGCTCAATAATCTTGAATGAAACTAAGGTAACAATTTTTTCTACTGTTTCAGATACATGCTGCTCCTGTACCAAAGTACAGCTCTTCCCCGTACCATAAACTTGAGTCCTCGTATAATCTCGATAAAATCGAAGTCCCTTACTCATATTCTCAATTCTATCCCCTGAGTGGGGGTGCCGCGAAGGTCTCTGAGTTCGAATCTTACGGCAATAGCGAGCACACAAGCGACTACGCAGAAGAGGAAGATGATTCCTACAGCCCTGTCGCTCCAGCAGACGCGGTGTCTGTAACCCTTGCATATGAACTTGCCAGACGCACGGGGACGGCTGTTAAGGAAGAAGGCCTCAATTTCGGCCCTCGTACTATTCCAAAGGATGGAACAGTTATCAAAGCTAGCAAAGACGTGCCTGAAGATCGTCTCTTTAGCTTCGACAAACAAATAGTAGAGCTGAGACACCCTTTAGTCAGACATGGTGTTTCGCCCCAAGAACCGCTTCTAGCCGCTCAAGAAGCAGCATACGATGAAGAGAATACCTACACAGGACCAGCAAATTATCTGAGCTATGCTGATTTGGGTTACGTCCCTGAAATTCCAAGGAGACAGCATCAATTCGTTGTCGGGTCCAGCGCTGCCTTTGAGGATCAGATCATTCCTCACGAAGAAGAATACTCCCGACAGGCTCCGAAACTATGCGGCAGGGGGGTAGGAGGCCATTTGATGCTCAAAAGCCACGAGGCTGAGGATTTCAGTGAGGAGCAGGAGTTCAGCAATGGCGAGAGGGGGGAGGGAAGGTACTCAGTTGTCAGACCTAAACCATACAACACCTTCGTACGCAAGCTTCAACCAAGTGGAGGCTACGTCAAGTACACGGAAATTCTAAGATAATTAAAAACTGTGATTTTGGAAAGATGTCAAGGGAAACGACGTGGCCTGCCCTGGCATTCGATTGACGAAACTGAGGAAAACTACGGAAAACTTTAGTCAAGATAGTCGAGATTCGAATCAAGGATCTCGTGAATAGACTATTTAGGCACCAGTCGGTTTGTAAGGTTCATACTTATGGTACGGTCGAGAGTCCGCCTTCCAAACAAGTTTTGTGATCACAGTCTGAACGTTTATTAAAATCTATTACATATTTCGTCCTCAGGAAGTCATCTTAAGGTGGTTCTCTGTAAGTGATCGAAAATAATAAATATAAATGCTAAATTGTATACATATTTGAATCCGATAATATTCGCATGGAACCTTAATTTACATGGAAATTACTTTCACCCCTCCCCACCCAAAAAGGCGTTTCACGATCCCCTGGGGCACTGCGGTTCCCACACTGGGAAACACTGTTTTAGACTAAAATGTTTGGTGAAATAGAAAATACTTAACGGGCTTACGTTACAACGAAAACACATCAAGCCGAACTCCACAGCATCCGACATCTTCTACCAGAAATCGACTACGTATTTGGCAGTGGTGTCAAGCAGCACCGTTTTGTCTTCTCCTTTTAATTTTTGTTCATTTCTTATTGTCTATGGCGCTTGTAATTACTTTGGTGTTCTGAATTAAGTAGCATTCATTATAATAAATACATACATACCTAAACGTCTCCTATATATTTATTGCCCTCAAAAATACACCCAGTTTCTTACGCGGGCAGTGGTCTCTTTTTTGCCATCACCTGCGGGCCCATCCGCGCGATTATCTGTGATATTCCAACCTGCTATAGCAATATTGTGTGTCAGTACGAACTCGCAGAATTAATTATCAATATTTCTGATAAAGCGAGAATCACAATGTTTTACAATGTTATGTCCAAGTCGTTGCATAAATGGACATAACTGATGCTGAATCTAACCAGTCATGAACACTGTATCCGTAGCAACGAC